ACTCTTTCTTCACGTGGTCGATAATCATGATCTTCCTTAAAATCTCCACGAAATTCCTGTGGTGATCGAAATTCTTTATGTTCGGGATAATCGTATCCACTTCTCGAATCATATGACGTACGACGAGCAAACTTAGGATCATTTGGTCGACGCTCATATTCATTATGTCTACGATTAGAAAAAGATTGACCATGTCCTCTGCCAGCGGGAGAAGAAAGTTCACGTTCATTTTGTTGCCATGCATTTTTGTGTCCTCCTCCTCTTTGATTCCAATTTTTTTTATGCCGATGAGCAAAGCCAGGTTTAAATCCCCCATCTTCTTGAATAGGTGAATGATTCCATGGCTTACTGTATGATATTTCGAGCCCTAAATCATTAAAAAAGAAGGTAAATATCATGTTTTAAATAACGTTTCGTACATTTCCCATCTTTGTCTTTTTGTTTGTCAAGGATACTTGCCCAATTTTAATCCATGTAAGATTCTTCCATTTTCCCCTTCGATCGCTTTTATTACACTTTCAACATTATCATATTGAACAAATCCAAAACTATTTTTAATAGAAATTTGCAAAATTTCTCCATATGGAGAAAAAATATCGAAAAGTTCTTTTTTTGAAGTTGAATGGGTTGATAAATTTCCTAAAAATAAACGTGATCCAGAAGGCAAAGCTTGAAACTCAGCATCTGATATTTTCCTTAAATTTAATGAACCTTTATGATCAGATTTCTCATTATCAAATTGTGAAATTGGAGAACGATTATTACTCCATCTTCTTGGTTCTCTATTAGTTTGATTAATATTAGGCTGTACATTTTGTTCATATTCACTCTGATAAATATTTCCTTCAATAGTAGGAGTATTAGACAATTGAGGAATTTGTCCAAATTCACCTAATAAGTTACCTTCATTTTTGGATTGATTAACATTTTCATCCGGAAAACTATTTTCCGCTGATAGATTAGCATTTGGAACGTTAAAATGATCGGCAGCCTTAGCGCGAAAAGGTTTCAAATTAATATCATCGTTTTCTTGGGAATTGATATTATCATCTGTTTCCAAATTATTATTATTATCATTATCCATTTTTATGTCGGGTAATGAATTCGTAGTATTATTTTGATAATTTACTCCAATATTGGGAGATTGATCATGAGAGAATAGCGATTCTGTAGATATTTGTTGTTCAATGAATGATTCTTGTTTAAATGACGGTACTTTTTTCACAGATGGTTCAGTTGATGGCTCAATAGAAGCCTGGGCCAATGAATTATTATCAATATCGGTATTAGAGTTGGGTAAAGGCATTTCTATCTGATTTTGTACAACAGGCTCTGGATTAAACAAATTCTGAGGAGTTTCAACTACTCCTTCGAAATTAGAAACATTTTGAACAGAATTAGAATTTATTTCGTTCTTTGTTTGTTGGATACTTGTGGTATTATCTAATTCCTGTTGTTCGACTATACTAATTTCTTTTTCTTGTTGTGAACTAGTAGAAAAATTTTCGTTATATGTTATTTGAACACTTTGAGAGATTTTTGTCACCATGTTAAGGTTATTTTCGGTGAAAGAAAGTTGCTCAAGACTATCAGAGTGATTCTCCTTAGTAGATTGGTTAATAGAAGCAGTATTCTCCGACGGAAAACTTGTAAAGGAATTTAATGTAGAAAGGTTATCCTTGTCGGGATCAAATCCTTTTGGAGTATTATTATTAATCTCTTTGTACAAATCTGAATTATTAGGCAAACTTCGTTCCTCTATTTCTGACATTTTTCTTACTCGCTTCGTTACTCAAGCTTCTTTTTCTAACGTAAAGGATTTAGCCGAATCAAATGGTACACTTGAAATAAAAAAATAAAAAAAAAAATTTCACATAAAATAAAATAAACAACTTTGCAAGAAAAAAAAATTTTTTTTTTTAGAATGTATTGTGGAAAACCACAACGGTATCCATCTGGTTAAAAGATTTGGAAATGCCCTTGTGTAATTGTAAATATGACATCCAGTCGTCATGTGAGAGTTGTGTAAATCAAAATTTTTATATTATAAAAATTTAACCCATTAAGTCAATTTGTGTTTGGAGGTTCAAAAAAATTTTCTTATATTAGGTTAGCTTTTAAAAACAGTTTTATTCTCCAATATTTGAGAATCAAATCTTTTTTTAACTATTTAACAAGTTTTATTAACTTGATCCCATTCTTTAAAGAAACTTTTATGGAGGTACCTTTTTTTTTCCTTTGTTTTTTTCAAAGATTTGTTCCTCATTTGGTTTTTGTCGATTCTTTCTTTTAATTATTGACATTTATATACATTATCAACTATTTTCAGCATATTATTTCTTGCTGGAGAAAATAAACAATCACAACAAGAAAACATTCAGATAGTGTGATTTCGAACCAAAGAAAAGCTTTAAATACAAAAGTCAACCTGAATTACTGAGAAAGTTATAGTTCAATGTTTAGACCATCGTCACAAAGTGATTTTGCTCGAGACGTTGGAGATTTTTCTAGTGGTCTCACAAATTCATATTTTGATTTCACACATTCATCAGCACCATCTTTTAATCAGTTTACTCGCTCGGATATATTGTTATCAAACCAGATTTCAAGTCAACCTTCAGCCGCAGCAACGGCTTTACAAGCCACGCAGACTCCCGCAATAGCAGGTGAATGCTGCACAGAATGTTGTCCCGTCGCTGCTGCACAAGCTGCAACAACAAACCGAGAATTGGAATCAAATAACATTGTTGATGAAGCTGATTTTCAAAAATTCCCACCTTTTAGTTTTTCAGATCCTTCCTTAAATTATAAATCTAGTATTAGTTCAAGTATTATGGATTATGGAAATTTTTCACATATTCTTGGACAGAATTCATCGACATTCAGGATGCCTTTTTTTCGACATCCTCAAGAAGCAAGAACTTTTACGTCACCACAATTTCACAAAATGATGCAAGATCATTTCACTGCATTCTTATCTGAAGGGCAGCAACAAAATACAGATTCTAATGTTTCAACAACTTCAATTCAGATATCTCCGATTCCTTCAATCGGAGAAAAGGTTCAAATCATGTCTTCAAATATTGAGGTAAGTTATTTCTAGAGATATATATATTGGTGAAAATATTTAAAGTATATATTTATTTTAAAACTTTATGTATTTAAATTCAAACATCATCATGAACCTTCTAATATTAAGTAATTTAATTCTCAGACTTCCTTAGAATCGAACAGTGCTGTTTCAACAATGATTAGTCAAGTTGAATCATCTGCTTATAACATGACTATTTCAGAAGCCGCTTTAGAGGAAAATACCGAAAACACGTTTGATGCAACCCATTCTGGATCGCTTTCAGATATCGAAGATATAGCAACGACATCCATTTCAGAGTCGACATCAATTAATAAAGTAGGTTCCAAACGAAAAGAAGACGATGCTTTAGATGAGACGCGATGTCTTTGGTCTACCTGTGCTGCTGTATTTAGATCCATTGACGAACTTATACCTCATCTTTCAAAATTACATGTTGCTGGTCGTAGTAAAGGCAATTTCTGTCGATGGGCATCTTGTTCAATGGAAAAGGAAGGAAGTGATGAATTAATTAAACATTTATGTTTAGACCATTTGGAAACGAGAGAATTCCGACATGGATGTAAATGGCAAAGCTGTCATTTACGATTTGAGACTTTTGAAGAGTTAACAGGTCACGTTAGTGACCTTCATATCGGATCTGGAAGGAGTCAATATATTTGTTATTGGGAGAAATGTGATAGAAATGGGCGACCATTTACTCAACGTCAAAAGGTTATGAGACATATTCAGACACATACTGGTAATATTCATATTCATATATACTTTCCCAATATTTTTTATATTTATATTTATTAACTTTATATATGATTTTTAAAGGGGATAAACCATACCAATGTACTATTTGTAAAAAACGCTTTTCTGAAGCTAATATTATGACTCAACATATGAGAACTCATACAGGAGAGCGTCCCTTCAAATGTACACAACCTGATTGTGACCGGGAATTTTCTATTTCGGGAGCATTAACTATACACCTGCGGGTGCATACAGGTATTTAAAGTAACTTTCTATTGATCCATTTATCTATTTAATATATATATTTATATATTTATATCCTTATTATAGGGGAAAAACCTTTTAAATGCAAGTATGAAGGATGTGTCAAAAGATTTGCAGAATCATCTAATCTCACTAAACATGTACAATTTCTTTTTATTTTTATATGAATTTTGAAGTTACATGGCAAATGTTTTTTTATTACTAATAAAATGGTTTTTATATATAGATGAGAGTTCATACAGGTGAACGACCTTTTAAATGCCCAATTACAACGTGCAATAAAAAATTTTCGCGACCTGATCAAGTAACGCGACACCAGAAAACGCACAAACAAGAGCTGTAATTTGTTTGTTCAATTCTTTTTCACAAGGTAAGTAATTGATATGATCTTTAGCTCGTGGTTTTTTTTACTAAAGGCTATTTCCTTTTTGATTTGTCCTGTTTATCTACAATAACAAAGGTATTCTTATTGATTATAAAAAAAAATTGCGTGATAATTGCAACCCGGATTTAAGATAAACAAATAATTTAAATATTCTACAACACCTTATTTGATTCCATTAATCTGTATATATTCTGGTCAATTTTATTTATTATACATTTGGTACGGTTTTTAACAATCAACGGATTTGGTTAGATTCTTTTTATAAACATCTCATAACCATATTAATAGTGTAATAACAAAAAAAAAAAATGAAAAAATTTTAATCATAAAAAAAAAAAAATTATCTTAATGCATCTGTAATAAAATTATTTTTATTGTATTGAATTGAAGCATTATTTCAATTGCAAAGGTCTCATATTATTCATCTATATGTTCCAATGTTTCAACCACATCCCAACAACAACACCGCAATAAAAATTACATTCACAAGCAAATATAAGGAATACAGATAGTGATTTATCATTACCAAGCCCATAGAGCTGGCACATTTTTGGAAAGTCGAAAGTGCGAAGGACAAAGTTGTTTCTATTATTACAGTGAATGTGATGTTATTCCTTTGTTGCAAATAACTGGAGCATGTTACGAAAATCTAAGTCATTCTGAGTATCATATTTTTCTTCATGCATATGAAGCCAAGTACTTTTTCCTCAAGTTCTTGGGTCTTATATATGGCAAAGATAGTTTCTTTAAGACTACAAAGGTCATCTGCTCTATATTTGCAACCCATTTAAATCAGTGTTGGGAAATAGGACAATTTTGGACAGGTTATGGACACATTTTCCTATGTCCAAAACCTTGTCCAAAATATTTAAAATCAAAAAAAATGTGTTCAAAACCCAACACTGATTTAAATCCCTTTCGTTTTGGATTAATTACAACGTAAAATTCTATAGATTGACATAAAATTTATTCAATGTACTTTAACGTTAATAACAAATTTGCGAAATCACAACCAATAACATACCATATATAGAAACTAGGTTTTTTTGCAACTCGGCCAATTGATCCAAGAGTTCCTGCTCTCGAGGGGTTATACTGACAGTTTCTGATAAAGATAAGATGAACATGTTCCTCAGTAGGTTTTTTGGAAAAGTACTTCCTTATCTTCATTGCGAGGAGTTTGTCAGGATCAATACTATTTTAAAAAAATTGTTAGTTTTAAATTGTTGTTGAAATTACAATTTTGCTAATTTAATAAACTTACTTTTTAGGTATTCCAATGTTAATTTGGTTTCATCCTCTAAAAAATCAAATCCTCTCTTCAAACAAGATCAATCTCGGTCATTAAGTAAGAGGTTGGCCAACTTTTCATCATTATCATCAGGTATTTTGACTTTACAGATTTTAAGACCTTTTGCATCGGGTACAACTATTTCCTCCTTAATAACATCTTTCAACTCATCAATGGTTTCTTCTTTATCAATTTTTACTGGAAAGGCACTTGCTAATACATCTCCTTTGATTAGACAGAAAAGAATTGTTGCTTTTTGGCGGTAATAGAATACAGTCGACCTCCTATATAGTCACACCCCTTAGCAGTGTTGTGCTGTGACATGTCCCAGATGTGCTTGGGACAATTGGGACATAACGTGGGACATAGTGTGGTACAGTCTTAAAATGCTTGGGACATGAAAAATGGACAACACTGACCTTGGGACCAAAAAATTTGGTGACTATAAAAAAATTTTTGATGTAACTATAGAAGAGGATTTTTTTAATAAATTTATGCATAACAAAAATGTGCTTATAATGGAGGTAGGAGGTGACTATATAGGGATTGACTGTATTTTCTTTTCTTCGTATTTCTTTCTTTTTAAAGGATTACAAAGCTCCTAGTAGCACAGCAAAGGGAAGGCAATGCAGTCAATATTCACTTGCCATGAGTAACTGATTTCTCCTTCAGAATCAGTGGACCTTAATCAATGTACGCCGCAGGATGACACTTTTCCACACCAGCAGTGTATAGAAGTATATATGTCTAGACGCATCTTCCTCCATACCAGCAGTATAAAGAGCAGCACCCCATTATTTATGAATACTGATCTTCTGAATTGCGTAAGCCTTCTGAAATTCCTTTGTTCCTGGTTCAAGGTACTTAATTAAATGATTTAATTTCATTTCTAAAGCATTGTGAGACATTTTTTTCGATGCATTTTGGTTCCTTTCGTAAAAGAAGCTGTTTCATGTTTGTGTATTTCCCCAAAAGACGCAGGGCTTCTAATATTCTAACATAGGAAATAGCATTGAAATTTTATTTTATAATTAATATAGTAAAGACGAGTAAATACTTACCGTTATAGTGAACTTTAGATAAATTTTTTCATTTGTGAAGAAAAAAATAGTAGAGAACTTAAAGGATCTTAAATAAAAAATTACTTTTTCAATGATTTGGACTGACAACGTGAAAAAGATTTAGCACGCGAAATTGAATTCGCGTCTGTTTTAAATCATTTTATACGATGTACACTCACCTAGCAAAAATGACCGACCAATAATAATTTTGCGATTAAATACCTCATTTTTAAATAAGTATATTTCGATAATTTACATATTAATTTCATATAAATTTT